TCCCATGGACTGACATTTTGAGCCCTGAGGACGTCGGCAGATAGCCGACAAAAGCTAGGTGTTTTAATTGGCGTTTTAATTAGTATTTTAATATTAAATTATTTTATCATATTCCCTGGTGCTCGTATTTGCTCACTGATTTTAATATGGAACTACCTAGGGATCACATTTTTAAAGAAATTTCTGATATATATATATATATATATATATATATACACACACACACACACACACACACATACACAGAGAGAGAGGGGGGGAGAAAGCATTACCTGTTTTCTCTGAACTCTTCTGCTTCCTTTTCTTTCATTGCTGTTTGAGGGTCTTCAACGTCATAAGAAAAGAGGTGAAAGGGGCTATATGGTACATAAGGTAATTTCTCAGTATTTGGAGATGCCTTTGAAGTAACACATGATGAATTTTGGGAAGTAATTTTGAAGACAGATGAGGAGAGTGATGAATGATGAGAAAAAGGATGCAAAGCAACTGAATTAAGGGATGATGAGCTCCTGGAAATATTTGTTCTACAATTCCTGGGAGGCCTTTCATCCTGAGAAATAACACTTGAGATGACTGAAGTATCATAATTCTGTGGACCATATTTAACCTTCTGTATTTCTGAGAACCCACTGGATTGAAAAAATAGATAATGAATGGTAGAAAAAGAAGAGAAAATGGTATTACACAAGTATTTCAAAAAACAGATTATGCTGAAAGCAAAGAGAAATAACTATAGTAGAAATTTAGTTATACACTTTCTTATCTATCAGGAAGACATAGAGGACTCTTGTTAGAATTGGCAATTTTTAAAATTTTTAAACTGTGTTATGTACACTCTCATAAAATGTCTATGTATTGAAGATAGCCATTTCAAAAAATGTCTCTTGTAATATGTATCTGTAGGTCAGAGGTGGGGTTGAAGAATTGATGTCCACAAGTCATAAAAGGGTCACAGTTTCCCACTTATGCTGTAGACAAATCATAAAGTACTTTCCAGGAAGGAAACTGGTAAAATTTTTGGAAGGTTTCTTCTGGAACATAGAATCATAGGGCTGGAAGCAAACTCAGAGATCTTCTAGTCCAATCCCCTGCTCAAGGCAGGAGAGTTTATACAATCACGGTCAAATGGTTGTGCAATCTTTTTTTGAAAGCCTGCAGTGATGGAGCACCCACAACTCCGGGAAGCAAGCTATTTCATTGATTAATTATTCGGTCAGAAAATTTCTCCTAGGTTAGCTCTCTTTAACAAGCGACTCAATTCAATTCCTGGTAATGTCTGGAAAAATCTATATAGTTTTTTCGATAACATTTTCTTAAGTGGTTTGCCACTGTCCCCTTCCAAAAGCTGAGAGAGACTTACTTGGCAAAAGTCATCCAGCAAGGACTAGAACTCACAGCCTCCAGTTTTTAAGCAGGTGCCTTAATTACCACACCCAATGGCTTTAAGTTCTCTGCTATTCCAAAAATAATTTGTAAATCCCACCTTCTTTTTTGAAGGTAAAAAGTAACCACTAGGCTGTAGCTATTTTTTTATTTTAATCATTATAAAAGATAAAACTTTGTTTTGTTAAATATCAGCTTCCCATATCAATTTTATACAAAAAGGGATTTTCAAAAATTAAGTATAAAGGTCAGGTAGAAAGAACCATGGCACACTGGTGTTTACTGAAACTATGATATCTATTCATGTCCTTGAAGAAAACTTCCCCAAATGATTCCACTGTGGTATTCATCTGTAAGTTTGCCTTTCCCACCTAGAAATACTTGAAAATTCCAGAAAATAACTCCTAACATTTAGATGGTGTCAGCTGACACAGTATATTTGAGAGAAATATGTTTAGTAGTTTCCTATTAAAAATAGTGGCTTATATTAAATACTGTCTTCAAAAAAAATTCAAAAAACAAGGTTTTTGTGAAGATATTGTAAAAGCTAAAGAATATTAGGCTGTTCCCCTCTGCTATCAGAGAGAAAGGTCCACTACAAAAGTAAAGTTTGCAAAGTTGGGAGGTTTGCAGGACTATAATTGCTGTGATAAGGGAGCTCTATTTGAGATGAGGAATTAAAAAACAAACCAAATCAAACATCAGATGAAAAAGAGAAGAGGGAAACATCCTGACTCTGGTAAACTTCTGTCCTAGTTATGTTGAGGAATTCAGGAAATGTAACTTTCTTCCATTATTTTTGTTTTGTTAAAAAGAATACACAACTAAGAAACAGGTTTTTTTCCAATTTAATTATGGTAAAGTAAAAACATTGAAACCAATGGAGACAATCATGTCTATTGTACATGGGTATACTTTAACCATAATTAAGTCTGGTTGCAAATCAATATATGTACAATGAGATATTATGTGTGGGTTTAATTTTAGTAAAATGCATATTCTAACAATATACAATAATACTGCAAAGGTTTGTTAGTTGTTTCAAGAAATGTTGAAAAGGTTACTGAGGTCATGATCCTAGTACCTGGCATTGATCTGCCTAGTAGCCTCTTCCTCCCTCTCATTCTCTGTAGCGGGCTCAATGACTGGCTGTTCTTCCTCCTTGTCATAAGCATTCTCTCTAGGATAAAACAAAGCATGCAAATTGGACAGCAACCCAAAACACACAAGAGATCTAAGGAAATATTATCAGCGAAACAAAATAAAACTAGAAATGAAAGAAAAAAAGGATAGAAATAAACATGGGTTCTATCTGCTAATAAAATAAGATGCAAAGGAGATTGGTATGAAGCAGATTTGGGGCCTAAATTATTCCATTTTCAACCATTTTCTGGGGACATTTGCTGCTAGACAGAGACACTGGATAACAAGAAAAGATGATTTGTGTATATAAAATGCCATGGAGGAATGGAGAGACAAGGGAGATAATGAATTATCTGTGAAGTGATTAACAAAATTGTATTCAGGTGATTTTAGCAAACAAGCCACCATTGAACTCTGGGAACTGAAGATAATTTTAATATTCATTTCCAGTGATCATGCTTTATTATTTTCAGTGTCACATATCTTATTTCACGATAGTGTACTTTAGCTATTGTTTCTTTCATTTCCTCATCATTCACTCTATTTTTCTACTTTGTTCTACTTTCTTCCTATGAATTCTCTTCTCCAACGCTTTTATCCAAAACATGTTTTTTAAAACAACCTTTCCCATTATACTGATCCTATACATCATATATTTGGTTCATTTTGTAATTTTCTATTTTGTATAGGTAGTTTGGTGTCCTCTTATTAATTCTGTAGGTAGTGTCATCCCCCTCCCTAATTCAGTGTTGGCTCTGCTATTAACACACGTACAGTTTTAAATCTTTTGTCTTATTTCATCTTTCTAAGTGATATTATTCATTCTATGCAGCAGCAGCATCAATTAACTTTCTTTCATATTAAGTTCTTTCCTGTATTAGGAATACTCTTTGTGCTGTGAATGTGTGGTAAGATACATATTGTTTATGCCTGTCAGATCTGCCCCAGGCTGCCCTCTCAGGAAAGTAAGATTGTTGAATCCATTGAGTTGAATCAAAAGAACTTTTACTGAGAGAAACTGGATGAAATAAAATCAGATGGAATCTGAAGATTCAGCACAAAGCACAAATAAATTATTTCAGTTTCCCCAATCCCAACCTCCATGACCAGTCCATTGGCGGTCAATCGGTGCCGAGAAGATGCTTTGAGAATGCTGAGGTACTAGGCAGATAACAGTTCACAATCAGGGCACAATGGCCTTGGAATCTAACAAAAACTGGCTGGGAACGAGTCCGTCCCATCTTCAAAGACAGTCCCCCTCCCTAATTCCCAAGTGAACAGCAGCAGCAAAAAATCCCAAGCAGGCCATCTCCCCTCCTCCTCAGCACAATGGCAGGATACCAGAGTACGAATGGTGGACTTGACATGCTACCCTCCTATCCGGATCAAGGGATTTGGGAAAATCTAGTCCCACTGTTACTGGGTTAATAATGAGTTTGATGGGGAAGGGACCTACATATTTGGGTCCTAACTTCTTCGATGGTTGCAGAGATTACAAGTATCAGGTGGATAGGTAAATGTGGTCATTGATATAAAGGGTTTTTGGTTCCATGCGCTTTTTTCAGCTTGCTTTTTGTATGCTTTCCTAGAATCTGCAAAGAACTTCCTCACAACTGGCCAGGTATTTCATAATTGGGATACCCATTCTTTTAAAGAAGGCATAGGGTGGTCATTCAAAGGCAGCTCAGGCATGGGAGTGATGTCTTGTCACATTGCTACCTTGAAAGGAGTGAACCCTGTACAACTGTGTACCAAATTATTGTATGCTACCTCCACAAATGGTTAAAAGGTCTGTCCAGTTGTCCTGTTGATAATTAACAGGTATTGTTCCAATACAGAGTTCTTGTGTTCGCACCCCTATTAGTTTGGGAGTGGTGGCTGGAGGCAAGCCCTTGATCAGTCCCTAGAAGATTTAGGAATGCTTACCAGAACTTGGAAGTGAATTGTACCCCCCTATCGGAGGTTACGTGTTGTAGGAATCTGTGCAGTCAGTAGACATGTTGCACAAAAAACTTGGCTAGCGCATATGCCGAGGGAATTTTTTGGCATGGGACAAAGTACAACTGCTTGGAAAACAAATCAGTTATAACTCATATAATTGTATTTACTGAACTTTTGGGGAGTTCTATTACAAAATCCATGGAGATTTCTCTCCAGGGTGCCGTTGGCTCAGCCACTGGTTGGAGGAGCCCTGGGGTTTTTCCTTGCCACCGCTTGGCAGAGGCACAAATCAGGCAACTTGCCACATAGCTATTAATGTCCTTCTTTAAGGATGGTTAATTAAATGTGAAGTTTTCAAAAACCAAAATGCCCAGCAGTTTTTGAATCATAGCTTTTATCCAGAACCAGTAGCCTCTGACTCTCTGATATATACGGTGTTTTCCCAAAAATAACACCCAGTCTTTTGGCTCCAAAAGATGTATTATAGCTTATTTCCAGGGAAACATGGTATCAGGGTGATCAGCCCGGCTGGATGCCCCAGAGTCGGATAATGCATGGGGGACGATGGTGTCCAGCAACAGCTGCAGCCTGCCTTCCCCTTAGCCAGCACATTCTGGGGCTGCGCAGCCCACACAGCGGTGTGTTGATTACTTGTCCAAACAGCAGGTGGAGGCAAAGGCATGGGGGAGGCATGCAATTTGGATGCACCATGTGGCCACCTGCCCCAGCATGGCCATGGGTGGCTTGTCCTCGTGGCGGCGGCACTGGCAGCAGCAGCAGGCAGAGACAGGTATAATTCTGATGCACTGCCTCCTGCCCCAGTGCAGCCATAGGCAAGCTGAGAGACAGTGGGACAGAGTGGACAGGCAGCTGCGTGGTGCATCAGGATTACCTGCCTCCCCCCATGCCTCTGCCTCCGCCTACTACTAGTGCTGCCACATGTCGGGATCACATGCCTCAGCTTGGGAGGGCCAGCCCGGTGGTCGCAGCGCTTGGTACAGTTATACTGAAGCATTCGTGACAAGGCATCAGCCAGAAAATTCTTGCCTCCTGGGAGGTAGTGCAAAGTAAAGTTAAACTGGTTGAAGTACTGTGCCCATTGGACTTGTTTGGGTGACAGCCTATGCGGGTTTTCAATGCCTCTAGTCTAAATTCTTGTGGTCAGTCGACACTTCAAAAGGTACTTTGCTCCCTTCAAGGAAGTAGCTTCATGTTAAGAGTGCTCAGCACATGGTGTAAGTCTCCTTTTCCTAGACCGCCCATCTCTGTTCAGTTTCTGACAGTTTTCTAGAAATATAGGCACAGGGTTATGGGTTGCCTTGTTCATTTCATTGCAAAAGTATGGCCCCTACAGCCACATCGCTAGAGTCTGCCTGAATGGGGCATTTGGATCTAGGTGTTTGAGGACAGGCTCAGTTGCAAATAAGCTTTTAAGTTTCTTGAACTGACACTCCATTTTAGAGGTTGGGCTAGGCTTGGGCTTGTCTTCCCCTTTTGTCTTTAAAAGATTAGTGATGGGGAATGCAATCTGGGCAAAAGATGGGATGAATTGGTGGTAAAAACTGGCAAAGAAGCTTTGCAATTGCTTTCTGGTGCATGGTGGGGCCCAATCCAATACTGCCTGGACCTTTTGGGGGTCCATCTCAATTCCTTCATGTGATATGTGGTAATTTAAATAGTCTATTTTACTCTGGTGGAACTAGCACTTGGAGACCTTAGTGTACAACTTAGCAGTTTTAGTTTCTTGAGCACCACTCTCATCAATTTTACATGCTCAGCTTTTGTTTCGGTGTAGATCAGAATATAATCTAAGTATACCTGCACCCCTTTGTATTGGTGCTCATGCAGCACCTCATTAATTAGCTACATGAAGACTGCCGGAGAGCCCTGGAGGTCAAAAGGGAGGACTTTAAACTGGAAACATCTCAGTGGATAATTAAAAGCACTTTTCCATTTGTCCCCCTCTTTGATCCTCACACGATAATAAGCCTCCTGTAGGTCTGAGTAAAAATCTTGCCTTGCCAAGTGAACTAGCATGTCCATCATTGAGGGGTAAACGTTTTCCACACCACCCCCCATTTAATCCTCTATAGTCCACAGGTGAAGCTATCCATCTTTTTCCCCCCTGAAATAAAACAGGGGCAGCCACCTGAGGTTGTGCCAACTGGATAAATCCATGGGCAAGGTTTTTAATCAATGAAGGAATGCAATTGCTCTAATTCCCTTGGGGTCATCGAGTAAACTTTTGGCTGGATAGTTTAGCCCCTGATAAAATCTCTACAGCAATCCATTGGTTGGTGAAGGGGGAGCTCATCCAATCCCTTTTCACTGAACATCTCCCTCAAGTCCCAGTATTCTTTAGGGATAGAGCCAAGGTCTCTTTCCTGTTCTTGCGCTGCGGGCTCCTGCCTCACAGCCCACTGGACAAGCTTCCTGAACTTGTTCCAGGCCATGTGCTAGGCAGGCTTGTCAGATTTTCAGCAGCCCCTCCTCCAATTTATGTACAGGTTCCACTTCTTGAGCCAGACCAACCAACTCTCCATTCTGGGAGCCACTATAAAGTGGTGGCAGCAGCTGGGGTCACTGAGGCATCCGGCATAGAGGCTGTCAGCAATGTCCTCCCATCATTATCCTCTGCTATGGTCTGCCAGGCATAGTTGGCAGTGGCTTTGGCAAGGGATTCACATGCTTTGAGGGTTCAGAAGGCATTCATCATAAACTTCATGGCTTCCCACATGATCAGGTCGGTATGGTCAGGTTCTCTGCCTGCCTCATTGTCTTCGAGCTCTTCCAGCTTCAGTTGCCATGGCTACATGGGTAAGAGTTACTCCCTTGGCCCTTCCTTCCTAGTCTTCCTTTTTCCTAATGCCTATGGACCACCTGGGTCTTCATGAGTCACACAGGCTCTCAACGTCCTCCATTCATTCTGAGAGTTTCAGTCCAGGGGGAACCCTGAATGATGCTTCCCCCCAGCATTTGGCTTCCTCTTGTCACTGCCCTGAGCTGACATCCTGTGCATGATCCCCATAGTACAGCGGTAGGTCTGTCTGAGTTGACCAGTACTGCAGATTCTGCCTAATGTCAGACCTGCCCCAA